AAGTTTCATGGGTTTTCACTCAACAAATCGCTTCTTGTTGGTCCAGATATGTTGCAAAGCTTACTTTATGTCCAACTCCCTTTCCGTCAACATAAAATTGCAATATCTGCCGTCATCGAGGGAATATTTATCCAATTCGTTGTTCTTTGGGAAGACCAACCATCTTTGCGTTTTCTACGGCGGGAAAACCCATCAACAGAAGTGATGGTTTATCAATACACTCGTCATATATTTGGAGCACGTGACTCACCAACGTGCGCAAATTTTGCTCTACAGCAGACAGCTAAAGACAATGAGTCCAATTATCCTGAAGCCGCAGCAGCTATTCGCGAAAAATTTTACATAAATTGTTACTCGGACTCCATGCCGAATGCTGAACAAGCCGTGAACCCAAGTAGAGATTTAGTTAAGGTGCTTAGTAAAGGAAGATTTAAGCTGACCAAATTTATCAGTAATATTCCTGAGATCTCAAGGAAGCTAAATCTGAACAGCAAAGAAATCGAAAATTAAAAGAAATAAACGTAAATCCCGATAGCTCATCGCATGTCTTAGGCCTGAATTGGGATCAGAGAAAAAACACCCCAGTAGTAAGTCGAGGTGGACGTCGTGATCTGCAGAAAGAGATCACACAACGAACCGTGCTAGTTTTGTGTCATCAGTGTTTGAAGCCATTGGTTTCGTTGCGCCTTATACGGTATAATCCTGCCTTTAGTTGAAGGAAACTAAATTTGGCGTCTTAAATGTCAACAATGGGACGATCCTCTGCCTGATCACATTAAAGACATGTTTTTGCAGTGGCACTCAGGCCTACCATTGCTAGTAAAAACGACCATCCCTCACTTTTACTTCAGTGCGCTTGTAGATACGATAGAACTACACATGCTTGGCGACAGTTCGCTCGAAGTCTTTTGTGCGGTTGGGTTTCTTCGTTGTCGCCTGTCAGAATCTCAGGAGACAGAGGTCAGTTTCGTGTTTGGAAAGGCTTGTGTAGCGCCAATAAAAGCCATGTCTATACCCAAACTCGAACTGCAAGCAGCCTTAGTGGCTACTCGGCTTAAAGAAGACATTCATAAAGCCTTGAATATCAGATATCCCAAACATTCATGTGGTCTGACAGTACAACTGTTTTACAGTGGCTCCACACAGACGATAACAAACGTGTATTCGTAGCCAATAGATGAGTGGTATCACGTAGCAACCAGTGATAATCCCGCAGACACAAGAACACGTGAGATTGCAGCCGAAGCGCTTCGTGAATACTGTTGGGTCAAGGGATTGAGTTTCTTGAAAACTGCTGTCTGGCCATTTCAACCATCTGTAGATGTTATCAATTAAATACGCCCCAAAGAATCAGCTGCAGATGTAGTTGGAGTCTCTCTACTTGCTAACAAATCAGATACAGGAGCCAAAAATCCTATCATTAATTGAGAAAAGTTCCACTCTTCTAAACTCTTGTGCATAGCAGCATACGCTCTAAAACTCCTTCCTTAGACACGCGCACTTCCGTTAGTCTGATAAAGTGTACCGACTCTTCGCAACTTGAAGTTGCCTAGGCAAAGCTTCTCAAGCTCTCCCATATCGATTCTTTCCCGGCAGAAATCAAACTGCTCGACAGTGACAAATCCGTAAAGAAGTCTAACCGAATAGTGGTTTATTCTCCATTCATAGGGCCAAATGGTTTTTCACGCTCATCTGGTCGCATTCGGCGTCTAAATGAAACTAGTTTCGAAGCAAAGCATCCTGTGTTACTAGATGGTCGTCACTATCTGGTGAAGCTTATCGCTCGCTATCTTCATCATCAGTCGTTTGATTACATGCGCGCAGCTATCCAATCTCGGTTTGCCGTCTTGAAATTGAGATCAACTCTTTGTGGAGTCGAAAATAGTTGCGTTCCCTGTCAAAAACGCAAAGCTAAGCGCGTCAACTCCATGATATCGGATCTCCCTCTAGAACATTTAGGGTACCGAAAACCTGCCTTTTGTTACTGCGGAGTTGACTATTTGGTCCATTTCATGTATCTGTCCGTAGGAGCTCAGAGAAGCGGTGGGTTTTTCTCTTTACTTTCATGACGACACGATCGGTCCATATTGAAACTGAACCTTCTATGGATGGCAATTCTTGCGTCATGGGTATTGAGAGGTTCATTGCCCGCCAAGGAACTCCGTTAGTCATCTGGTCGGATAACGGCACAAACTTCTTCGGCGCCGAGAAGGAACTGATAAAGTGCATCTAAACTTGGAATCAACAGGCTGCCAGCGGATTAGTACACGAAGGCATAAAGTAGAAATACAATCCACCTAGTGCGCCACATCATGTTGGCTCATGGGAGCGTCTGGTAAGGTCCTGCAAGCGGGCATTCTATTTGTTACTGGAAACACGCAAACTAACGCCAGATGTACTCGATACAACATTCTGCTTGGTCGAGATATCTTTAAATGCGCGACCACTTACTCCAATAAACAGTGATTCGGATAGTTTGGAAGCTATTAGGCCTAACCACTTCCTGCTTTGGCAGCCAAGTGCGACATTACCTTCCTTAAGCTTTGAAGAAGATTTCGACCAAGGGAAACGGTTCGTGCATGCGCAGGCATATGCAAAAGCAAATTGGTCACGATAGCTAGGCGAGAATGTGCCAGGTCTGAATAAGCGAGCCAAGTGGCACTCCTCTCCTGAACAGGCACTCGAGACAGGCGATTTAGTGTGGATAGTAGAGTCCGCCAACCCCCGAGGTTATTATCCTTTATCACGCATTAGAACGCTTAACTTCGGAGAAGACGGTGTGGCCCGATCCGCAATGCTAAAAACCTTCAATGGTGACATTACCCGTCCGACAGTAAAACTCGCACCCATCCTCGCTTCCTTGGGGCCGAGGATGTTGCCACGCAAATAACTTCTCAGCAAAACCTGAAAACCGAATAAATTGAACTAAATTAAGGTCGTTGGCCGATTGGTCTAGAACAAAGCTTCAAAAACTGACCAGACCGGTTCGGCGTAGGTTCGAGTCCCCCAAAAAGCCAATGTTTTTACCCAAACCAAAAAGTAAAAATGACTAAAACTAATATGAAAACATAGCAAAATGACCTTTTTTGACATGTTATTGCCGTCTGTATGTGATTTAACGTATATCACAAAAATGCTCTTATGTTAATACGTAAAGACTTGAATATGCCGATTTTGTAGAATGATTTATCCGTTTATATCGACAGATTCTGCAATTTACGCCGTTTACAGAAATAATTCAATTTGGTTACATCTTTCACTTGCTTTTTTTTGTGAGATATTTTAGGGTTTTGAGTTAAGCGCGGTCACAGTATCCTCCAGATGCGACTGCTCAAAACCCTTGTTTCATTTGGGTTGTCATTTTTTAATCTAAATTTTTGAAACATCATGAAAACGGCATGTCTTGGAATCTAAAAGGTTTTTAAGCATTCCCATTTGGAGGCAAGATTTGTAACTCCTAAATGTACTTTGACAGCAACCCACTATAGGGTTAAGGATTTCAAATTTTGTAAAAAAAATTTGATTTTATGGTTTTTTCAAAAAAAAGTATCAAAAATTCAAAAAACAGCGTATCTCAGATCCCAAGTGTTAATGAATTTTCTAAATAATTTGAAGGCTGTTGAAAAAATCTGAAAAATGTTTTATCTAGGGAACTAGGAAGATTTGAGTAGTCATATTTGTAGGCAAGATTTGCGACCCTTAAAAGCACCAGCGTATTTAGGGGGCGGACCAAAGTGTCCCCATTTGTACTATTTTGAGATATCCAAAATCCATTCTTGGCTGACTGACCTAACAATTTTTCTAAAGGCGCCTTTGGCGAAAATCTATACTAATTTTGAGGGGCGAGAACCCGCCGAAAAAACGCAATTTTACGTCAAAATTTTCCAAAAATTGCCTGAAAACGCCTTTCATTGCCTGTTTTTTTTTTCAAAATTTTGTCTGCGATCCAGAAAATTCGGTCAAAATAGGGTCTTATAAAGATTTACGAGAGCTCAAAAAATCAATTTGGTCGAACGATTAAAAAAAGGTCGACAATTTGTTCAGCTGTAGACCCAGGGGCGTATTTAGGGAGGGGGGCTGACGCCCTTCCCCTTAGAAATTAGACCCCCTCACCAACCAAAGGGTCCCCCCTTTGGGATTAACTTATCCATTTTCTTCCGTTATCATTTTCAGCCAACCCGTAAAATTTTCTAGAGGCGCCTTCGGCGCCAAAGTGTACTAATTTAGAGTGGGTAGCACGCGCCAAAAAACGCGATTTTTGTCAATTTTTTCAGAAGGTGACTGAAAACCGGTTTTTTGGGCTGTTTTTTCAAACATTTGCATGCGGTGCAGAAAAGTGTCAAAATAGGGCTTTCATAGTGTTCTGGAAGCGCTCGGAAAATCAATTGGGTCGGCCTTAAAAAAAGTTCGGCAAAATTTTTTTTTTGAAAATCCGCCCTTCCTCGAGAAAATTCTAGATCCCCTGCTCAAAAGTACCCTGACAGCGCCCCACTATAAGGTTGGGAATTATAAATTGTGTTAAGATTTTGATATCAAATATTTCAAAGACTCATAAAAAACGTCATAAGTTTAATATATCAGAAAGTGCAATAAAACTTCAAAAACAGCCAATATAAATTTAAATCGAACCAAACGACCTTATTAAGTATGACGCTTAACAATGAAAATTAACAAGTTGTTCATGACACTTAAAAATGGCTTTATCACTTTCAATGAGACTTCTTGTTTGCCTATCTCAGATTACTCATCTTGATCAGCCTTGAAACTTTAGACAGTTTTTACGCTGTTTTGGTTGCAATTGATTAGCATTCCCTATTTGGCTACATGATGATATCCAATAATTTTAGTTAGCTGTGATTGCTAGAGAGCAGGGGCGGCTCTAGGATTTTCTTGCAGATTTTTTTCGAATTCCTGAAAGGGAGGGAACGCCCGTCCCACCTCCCCCGTGTTAGAGATTATTTGAATGTGCTCTTGATTCAAGTTCTTTTTGGCTTAGAAAACGCATATGAAATGTTTATTTTTTGTTTAAAATAAATGTGGTATTCGATTGTTATAAATACTAACAACTACACCTACTTACACATAACTATGATAAAAATCTCGAAAATTATCGTTGATGAAGGTATTTTCAAAAAAAAAATTTAAGCACCGACAATACACTTCACTCCGAAATGTTTCCGAACAATTGATAATTACAACAAATCTACGCAAAGCAGACGACTCCAACCAAAAATTTGCGGTAAAATAACTCGTGTGCTACAGATCATGTTCGTAATATAATAAATAATTGTTTTGAGCTCATCGTCGAACTGAAGTTGAATATATCTGCAGATCAATTATATAGGATTTCCAGAACTAATAGGAAAGCGACAGCTAATGGGAAAAACTTATATTGTCAAAGTCTAACGCTGCTCATGGAAAATTTACATCCCAAACTGAACAATTTTCGTAACAAATATGGCTCGTTATCAGTTGAATTGCAAAAAGCAGATCTAAAGATAGGTTTTCAGTTGCAATTGCAAGAAAGATGGTAGCTGATATGTGCAGAGGACAATTGGATAGACTAGTTTCACTACATTGTATCCACTGGCCGGAACAATTAGGCTTCGTGTTAGCTGCCCGGCACCGATTTTGTCCAGCAGTCGACCTTCACCCTGTAGAATCTTTGTCCCACTTGCAAGTTAAATCGGTTATTTGGCTGAAACACCACAAGTCACCTCGGTCACAAAATTTTACTGAGTCATTATTTTTCAATTTGTTGTCTCACCAATCACTTTCAGTTTGCCAGCAAAAGATGATAAAATTGCTGTTACCTTTCTAACTTTGCAGTGCTCCTTGCTCACAAACACGGCTATATCCCTTTTCTTGCTTTCTAAAACACAGCAGTTCATTGAAAATCGATAGCTTCAAATGCTCAAATTTTACATCGATCAACCATATTTGAAAAGCTATCATCCTGTCCTTTTCGATCTTAAATATAAGATCAAAAACAGCAGGAATTCAAATAATAAGTCAGTGAACAGTCAAACAGAAAAGCCAAAAAGTCAAGTCGAGTCTCACCGGGGCTAGATTGAGTGTTCACTCCCAGTCTCTCGTAGCACTCCTCGTGCAAAAAATAGGGCGTGTTTGTGACACTGAACAGTCTGTAGTGTCCACTAGGGCTGTCGAATTCGATCAACACCAAGTCGTTCGCTCGGAAATCGTTCAGGGCTATTTTAATCTGAATAGGAAGGACTAAGCTCTGAGGTTGCTGCATCGGTGGTGATGTTCCAGGAGGACTCAAATTAGTTGACAAAAGCGTCGATTTGCTGTTGTCCCCGCAGGATGATACGTTCACACTTTTGGTCACGTCACAATGAACTAAGGCTGTCCCAACTGAATCTGTCAGTGGTTTCGGTTGACTGATGACAACAGACATACTCTGAGAGTGGTGAATTCGGTTCACAGTTATTGACTCCGAAGCCAACTCTTTCCACTTGTTTCGTTGTTTAGAATCAACCTCACCAGCTGCATCCATTTCACTCGTTACTGATCTGTCCATTGGAGCACCTAATGTGCGCAAGCTTTGTTCCAGAGAAGCTTCCCCAGTTGATGATTCTGACTCAGACTTTTCCAGCAGCTTCAATTTCACTTGTAACATTTTCACTTCCCTTCTCAGTTTGACTATTTCCGCATTCTTCTCTTTTGTTAACGCATTCAATGCCAAGTTGAAAGAAGTCTGAAAGAAAGAACTCTAAACAAGGTGTTCTCACGCGACAGAGTTCAAAGGGATTTTTTGTTACTTTCGACAATGTCAGCATATTGTAGACAATTTAAGCTGATCAACATTAAAAAACAATACCGTCAAAAAAAATTTGCTCCATTTTTGAAAACAGAATTTGACATAGGCGAAGCTGTGCTTCGCAAACACAAGCGATGAAGATGCAAAAAAGAGCTCTAAACAGGCAAAACAAAGAGAAATAAGGAAAAAATTTTAAAAAAACAGATTGAAAAAATTTGTTATGATACAGAGTATCACGTTCTCACATCTTCTCTATGAACGCGTGTAATTTTACTAACACTAGCCGCCAACAAAGCAGCTACAGTTCTATCTAACAAATCTATTAAAATATTCCGGATTTGAATTACCGACCCGTCGATTAGGACGCTCACAACCTCACATATGCACCAGAGTTGCCTGGAAGTAAACTAGAGGCCCAGCTAATACTAAATCTGCATATTCTAATATTTTAAATAATATATTATACTGATACAAAAATGGACTTTCAAAATTTCAAAAAATGGACTTTACGCTAAACCCTAGTTTTTGTCTGCGCAAGTAGCGGATTAAGCGCTTATTTAGAGGACAAAACTACTACTCGTTCTTTCAATTGAAGTCTTTATCGCAGATTTGGTAGGGTAATTTTCGAAAAAAAAGTGAAAAGATTCCAAAAATCGATCAAAAATTCAAAACTATTTTCCTAAAACCATAAACTTTGCTCTTCTGAACTATGGGAAGAGGCTCTTTTTTCCACACCCTGAGTTGGACGTTAAAGATTTTCTCACTTTGATTTTTATATTGAGCCCTTAATATCAGATTTATCTAGTTTTCGAGAATTCAAAAAAAAAACGGTTAAAACAAAAAGATTTTTTTCCGAAGTCCAAATCAGCTTTAATACAAAAAAACAAGCAGAAACCGATTAAGCAGGGAAAATCTAAGCATCAAATTAGTTTTTATGAACTAGCAAACTCAGAATCAGCAGCTTAGTTTTTGATAAAGAATAACTTTCCAAAAAACGGGCAAAACATCAAATATTGAAAACTTTATAGGCCATATAATTTTTGAAAAAGTTCCAAGGCACTTGCACGGGTAACATTCTCATAACTGATTTTTTCTTTCAGTTAAACTCTTAATTTTGAATTTAGCAGGGAAGTTTTCGAGAGAAGTCGAAAAAAATTTTTAAATTAACCAAAAAATGGGCTTCTTTGAGTCCCAAGCTTTTTTCTACCAAATTTAGGAAAAAACAGCTTCAAAAGAGGAGATCCTTATAACTTTTCTTTAGATTGAAACTTTCATCTCAGATTTGCGCATTTAATATTTGAGAAAATGAAAAAATTCAAAACAAATAGGCCAAAAATCCCCCTACTGAAACTTTCCAAGGCAGTACAACGTGAGGTAAAATGAAAAGAGACTAGCAAACTATGCAAACACATAAAATAGCAGCCGATTTTTCCATTGCAACTATTTTTTTTAAATCGGTAAAAGAGTTTTAGAGAAAAATTTCTGCGAAAAAAGCGAAAAATTTCCCAAGCGTCGCAAAAAAAAACGAAAACCAAATCCCATTATTATTATTATATTACATGCTTATTTTCAAAGATGAACAAACACCAGCCAAAAATAAAGCAGCAAGATAGGCCATTGAATTTTTTAAACTTTATTAAGCTTAAATATGAAAAAATAGAAACAAACCAAAAGTGCCATCAAATGAGCACTTTTATTTGCGACAGCTTAGAAACAAAATCTTACACTATGCTTCGCTTTTGTAATCACCAGATGGATAACAAGTGTGAGAAAAACTCGAAAAAAAGACAATGATAGCCGGCTGCTCAGCAAGTTGTCTAATATGTTGCGACTATATTTATTTAACAAAAACATAACAACTGACTGTTAAAAAAGAGAAATGAACGCAAGAAAACAGAAAACAAGATTTCAATTTTAGAGAAATATATGCCTTTGAAGCAATTGAATTTTGAAAAACAATTTATGGCTGGTGATTTTTAATCAAATTAACTCAGTTTGAGAAAACTGGATCAATAGGTAATTTTTTAATTCCGCTGGGAAATCAATATCGCTGGGAAATTAATTCCGCTTAATTTTGAATTTAGCAGGGAAGTTTTCGAGAAAACTCGAAAAAATTTTTAAAATTGACCAAAGTGTCAAAAAATGGGCTTCTTTGAGTCCCAAGCTTTTTTCTACCAAATTTAGGAAAAAACAGCTTCAAAAGAGGAGATCCTTATAACTTTTCTTTAGATTGAAACTTTCATCTCAGATTTGCGCATTTAATATTTGAGAAAATGAAAAAATTCAAAACAAATAGGCCAAAAATCCCCCTACTGAAACTTTCCAATGCCGTAGAACCTGAGGTAAATTGAAAAGAGACTAGCAAACTATGCAAGCACATAAAAGAGCAGCCGGTCTTTCCATTGCAACTATTTTTTTTAAATCGGTTCAGTAGTTTTAGAGAAAAATTTCTGCGAAAAAAGCGAAAAATTTCCCAAGCGTCGCAAAAAAAACGAAAACCAAATCCCATACATTTTTATATTACATGCTTATTTTCAAAGATGAACAAACACAAGCCAAATATAAAGCAGCAAGATAGGCCATTGAATTTTTTCTACTTAAATAAGCTTAAATAAAATAAAATAGAAACAAACCAAAAATGCCATCAAATGAGCACTTTTATTTGCGACAGCTTGGAAACAAAACCTTACACTATGCTTCGCTTTTGTAATCACCAGATGGATAACAAGTGTGAGAAAAACTCGAAAAAAAGACAATGATAGCCGGTTGCTCAGCAAGTTGTCTAATATGTTCCGACTATATTTATTTAACAAAAACATAACATCTGACAGTTAAAAAAGAGAAAGGAACGCAAGAAAACAGAAAACTAGACTTCAATTTTTAGAGAAATATATGCCTTTGAAGCAATGGAATTTTCAAAAACAATTTATGGCTGGTGCTTTTTAATAAAATTAACTCAGTTTGAGAAAATTGGATCAATAGGTAATTTTCTAATTCCGCTGGGAAATCTGAACATTAAAATCCTATATTGAAATTTAGAAGTCCATCACGTTTTTGTGACCTTACACTTTTGCTACTCGATAGTGGAGTTTGTCTGCTTTTTGAAACTTGGACACACTAAGACTGAAAACACTAAGACCTATAAAAGAGTCTTTACTAAGTTCATTACTCTTTATAACTAGTGAATTACATTGACGTTAAACAGAAATTACAAGACATTTTAAGACTACTTTTAATTACATTTCTCGACAAAAGCGTAATTTTCAAACTGGTTTTCTCAAAAATAATTACTGTCGTTCAATTTACTATCCAGTGGATACTAGGGCGGTGGAGTTCGATCAACACCAAATCACTCGCTCAGAAATCGTTCAGGGCTATTTTTATCTGAATAGGATGTACCAAGCTAGCTCTGAGGTTGCTGCATGGGCGGTGATGTTCCAGGAGGACTTAAGCTAGTTGCCAACAAAAACTTCGATTTGGTGTTGAACCCGCATAAGGATACATTCACACTTTTGGTCACGTCACCATGAACTAAGGCTATCTCAAAGCAAATTAATTTGAATGAGGACCTGTCGGATGCAGCGATTACCGGCTTTACAATAGCATGAAACCGAACTTTACTGCGCGGTAACTTCTCAGATAAAAATGACCAATTTTTCCATATGCTTCATAACAATTTTCGAAAACTGGATCAAAAGGCAAAATTTTTATTCCGCAGAAAAATCTATCAAGTAAATTTCACTTTCGAAACTAAAAGTCGTTCACATTTTTTCGCGCCTTTTCCGTATTCGTATTTAGCGAGTGCTATTTGGGCAACTGTCGGCAGATGAAATTCAATTGGGCTCAAAAAGTGCATATCTACCTAAGTGAATTTATAAATGCATTAATATAATTGAACGCATATCTGTAGTTATTTCAGCATTTTAAGATTTTTCCCGAAAAAAAAAACAGCCAAGACCTATAGAAGAGCCTTGAATACGTTCATAAAAAATGTATTAATATGTGTGAACGCATATCTGTAGTTGTTTCAGCTTTTTTAAGACTTTTCCTTAAAAAAATGAGCCAAGACCTATCGAAGAGTCTTCAATACGTTCTTCAAAAAAATTTCAAGCTATTTCAAAAAATCCAATACGTTCTTCAAAAAAATTTCAAGCTATTTCAAAAAATCCCATGTTCCGTTAACGTGAAACACAAAATATTCCAAGTTTAACCAGAGCTCATACGCTAAATTACTAGAAACTAAGTCAGTTAGGTACACAAGCAATTTGGGACGAATATAAACTAGCCGAAAAAACGGACACCAACTTCATTTCCGGAAAAAACGGATACCAACTTCATTCTTCACACAAAAATTCTTTGCAAAAAACTAAAAACTAGAACTGAAATAAGGTTTCTTGAAATTGACTTTAAAAAACAACAAAATTACAGCACGAGAAGACTTGAAACAGTTAAGCAGAAAAAAATGTCCAAAAAAACAAACTTTGGCTTTTCAAACGATAAATTATTGAAGCTTTATGAATGAAGTGATTTTAGATTTGAGATCACTTGAGGCTTATCAAATTTTATTCAATGGCCTCGCAAGCCGACAGTTATTTTGCACATATAAGTTTAGCAAATCCGCAAACAATTAAGACAACATTCCATATACGAATCACCTTTTTCATTTCTTAAAGAGCATCTCTCATCTGTATGCTTTCTTTCAGACATTGAAATAAATGACTACAGGAACTGATAAAAACGCAATTCAAACTTTCTTGTTTTCTGGAAATAAGTCTCAAGAATTCATGATTTCTGAATTCAAGAATTGATTTTGAAATACCATGAATCGCACACCCCACAACCTTAGTTTACATGTAAAATGCCTCACGAAAATGTTGAAACGTATTTATAAAAAATGCTTTCTAGATGTTTTTTTTCAAAGTCAAAGCACTCATTGAATTCAGAAAAGGCA